AAATTTATTCTCTACCATGTTTTCTCTCTCTGATCTCCATCATACAAGTAAATAGAATGGAGCTGTCAAGAAAAAAAACAACCATATAACCTTTTAAAGAAAATTGGGTTCCTTTACACCCATGTAGTTGCATTCTTCCACCCCCAACCCCACACAGGCTATTAAAATATTAAGGGGCTGTCTCAAGTGGCAGCCAAACATCCATTCTAAATTTTTTCTCCTCACTGCTCTCCAAATCAACCTACTGGTGTGATACTGAGAGCATGGACTATGTGTTCATTCCATTCCAAAGAATTAGCTGTCATAATACACCACCCCATGCTTCTTCCATTCAGGAAAGAACATCATGAAGCAGAAAGCATAGGGATAACTCTGCATCCATGCAATCTGGTTCATACAAACAAGCCAGATTCCAAATGCCAGTACTGTAACTCTTAGTAGTCACAAATGCATTTCTACTCGTGCAGCTCTGTATGGCTGAGAAGTAGGGCCTTGGAGAAAGCCTAGGGGTGGAGGGGCTTTGGAGTATAATATCCATCCAGAAACCTGAGTAGCATCATCCCTTGGCACAGGAGAAATTTTGTCACAGCCACCTACCACTGGCTCCAAGGTTTCAAACAGTCCAGTGTTTCTTGTAACACAGGAAGGGCATGCAACATCCTCCCTTAGATCTGGAGTTGGATTCAGCTCCCTTGGAAAGAACCACTACAACTTCAAAATCTACTGCAAAAGAACTGATGAGTGGGAACCCTCAACAACACTGTGCATAAGGATAAAAGGTCTATGCTAATGAGTATTAAATTCACAGAACTATAAATACCATAAACATGAGCATTCTAGCTTTCTCACCTTCACTCAGTAATGGGCCTGCCTCCCATTTCTATTCACATAGTGCAATTCATATTGTCTTAGGTCATCTGAATTTCAGTTACTAAAGTTCCAATTATCCAAATACCCTCTGGTAGAACTGTTTGATTGTTATAGATAAAAAAACATAATCACGTGTCCCCTTCTCTTTTACATTCTTTTCTCCCACGCAGAAACTGTATCCATGTCTTTTCCTCTAAAGGGAAATTATAGTAAGTGATAGTAAATGGTAGAAATTCTAAGCAGAACAAAAACCATTTCTAGGAAAAACAAAGTCCTAATTAAGAATGAAAGTACTAAGTAACCTAAATCACATTCTTAATCATTCTATCAAAACTACAGATGCTCCTCAACTTACACTAGGGTTACATCCTGATAAACCCATCCTAAGTTGAAAATATCACAATCTGAACATGCATCTCATACACCTAACCTACCGAACATCATAGCTTAGCACAGCCTACCTTAAACATGCTCAGAACACTTACAATAGCCTACGGTTGAGCAAAAGCACCTAACACAGGAACACACAGTAGAGTATCAGTTACGATTGCATGGCTGACTGTGAGCTGTAGCTCACCGCCACTGCCCAGCATCACAGCAGAGCATGATCCCACATATTGGTAGCCCAAGAAAAGATCAAAATTCTAAGTACACCTTCTACTGAATACATATTGCTTTTGCACCATCATACAGTCAAAAAACATGAGTTGAAACATCATAAGTCAGGGACAGTCTATAGTCATTTTTTACGTCTAATCTATATGAAGTATGATCTTCCTATTATAGTAAGATTCTATTTACAGGTCAGTGATTCTATAAGAAGGTAGTGAACATAAAGTTAAGATTTAGATGTTGACGCAAAATAAACCAAAGCTTAAAATTGCAGCTCTGTCAATTATCAGCTGTATGAACTTGGGCAAACTGCTTATTCTCTCTACATTTATTTTTCATCCGTAAAATGAGACAAAGTCTAGCACCTACCTCAGATGACTGATGCAAATACTAAATAAGATAAGGTACACAAAGCTCTAAGCACAGTGCCTAACACATAATGGCCCCCAACAGATGTCTGCTGGTAGCAGCAGCAGTAATAATAGAAACAGCAGCAGCAGCAGCAGTCTGCATTGTTCCCCAAACTTTATTTCATCTAGCTCTACTTTTTGACAAACATAATAATCCCACTGGTAGAAATTTCTAGTGCTCCTTCATATCTAACTCTCCTTCCTGGAAAGAGGAGAGGACAACACCTCCCAGCCCCTTGCAATTGTGTCTCTTCCAATCCAAGGAACTGAGAAGCCAATATGCCGTTTCCAGGCGCTCTCGCTTTCCTGTAACCATGTACCAAGATGCAGAAAGCCTGGATCTGGAGTCACTGCCTGGAGGAGAGCTACTTGACCTGCTTCATACTTCAGGTGAATACAAAATAAATCTCTGATGTGTTAAGCCACTGAGATTTGAAGCTTGATTATTATTGCATCAGGATCTACCCTATCGTGACCAATAGGTACTCATATACCCCTAAAAGGGATCCTGACAGACTTCCCAAGAGGGAAAGGAGGGGCACTTCAATGTTTTTTTAAGTAACTTGCTTTTTGGCAATCTTAATATTCTTTACTTTGTAATACTACCTCATATTGCAAGTAAATTGACTTTTCACACTCTCCGTGTTTCTTCCTCCTTTTATATTTAACCTAAAAATAATAATTATATTATACTTATATTTAATATACAGATTAATACTGGGGCTTTCACTGGGTCTATGTTACACAGTCCTATCTCACCCACAGCACCCAAGGTAGCCTCTGATCATATAGGTTCCAGAACAAGGAAGGGGTAATGGGAACAGCCTCAACCCTTCACTTGTTTCCAGCTTAGGGTAACGTGGGATAGTTAAATAGAATTATGAACGTCACCTAGTTTAAACTGAACTAACCCTCATGAAATGAACAAGGGGTTTTATATGTTTTTTACTGCCCGGATGGTGTGGTTCAGTGGTTTAGTGTTGACCTATGAACCAGGAGGTCATGGTTCAATTCCTGGTCAGGCACATGCCTGGGCTGTGGGCTCGATCCCTAGTTCGGGGTGTGCAGGAGGCAGCCAATCAATAGTTCTCTCTCATCAGTGATGTCTTTATCTCTCTCTCCCTCTCTGAAATCAAGAAAATATATTTTTTAAATGTTTTTACTAGGAGTCAAATGGTTCTTTGTGTCATTAAAATTTACCTCAATATACTATTTATTTTACTTTGCCTTTTCCATACTTAATTTTTGTGAATGTCATAGAAGACAGTATATTAACATAGTAGCACAACATGCAATTGATAAATAAATATACGTCTGTAAGTGGGAAATCTATGCTCAAAAACATTTAATGATTAAAGCATAAAATAGAAGTTTAGATATCAGCTTTCAATTTTGCCACTACATGCATTATTCCTAAACTTCTGTAACCATTTCCCAAAACAACTAAAAAAGGAAGAAAACCAGTATCGGACTGGGAAACACTCACAGCTGTAACAGGTTCACAGGATTTGCATGAACTAGCAAAGTCAGACAAAAATATAAATAACAGTGAAGAGCATTAATTTGAATTAGGAGTAAAGGACAGGCTTTCTGTTCCAACTGAAAATCACATTTGCACATCTGAAAACTAGCAGACTGTCAGATAACCAAAGGGATAAGATGATTGCTTTCCACACTCAGAACAAACAGCAGATTCTCAGACAGATTAGAAATGCTTCTATGGGTACTTGGACTCCACAGGCTGGAAGCCAGGGAAACAGACAGGAGGGTCCACAAATGACCCTAAGAAAGGCAGAGCACTACCTTAAGTCAACATATAAAGATCACTTATCGGAGAATCACGAGTTTAGCCAAATTTAAATTATCTCAAATATCTGGAAACTTTTTTAGCCAAATGGCATAGCACCACCTATTCCACATCTCTTAGCACTTATCTCACTACCACGTAAAGGTGAGGCTGGGATTTAAACCCAGGAATGTCTGATTCCAAAGCCCTTATGAAAATAGCATCATATAAATGAGCCTCACAGAACAGGTAGGATATGAAAATCAAGACTGGCTTGAATTAAAAGGGAAGAGGTAGGGAGAGGAGGTGTTGTGACGTCCTCCAGTATAAGATAATGGAAAGAGCAAAGTTATGGAGGTGGGAAACCCTGAATATGTACAGGTATTACCACGTGGTGGTTCTGGTAGCCTAGGAGATGTGGAGGGAGGTGGTATGAGATAATGCTGTAAAGGCTAGTCAGGCTTTCCAATGGAAGGCTCAGCCACAGAAGTAGACTTCATTCTGGAGGCAATGAGTAATTATGGAGGGCTTTAAAGCAGGGGAATGGCATAAGTGCAGGTAGATGCTGGGAAAACTAATCTTGCTATGACATGGAAGAGGGATCAAAGAAAAGTCTGAAGGTGGCTTGCACATAGCATGTGGTTAATATTGAATGGATGAGGCAAAAATGTGTTGTGTTTCTCTAACATATCAAGCCCATTCTACCCAACACCACTTATATAATTTTGTTCAGTTCGATATTTAGAAAACAAACTCCACTCATTCTAGTGCTGATACTTCAAAAAAAATTCATTGGTCAGATGTGGTCCTCTAAATGTTGCTATTAAAATGTTTACTCTTGCCCGGCCAGTGTGCTTCAGTGGTTGAGCGTCAGGGCACATGCCCAGGTAGCAGGTTCGATTCCCAGTGGGGAGCATGCAGAAGGCAGCCAATCAATGATTCTCTCTCATCATTGATGTTTCTAACTCTCTCTCCTTCTCCCTTCCTCTCTAAAATCAATAAAAATATTTTTAAATGTCTACTCTTGCAAAAATTAACACTTTCCTCTTCTATTCAAAGGAAGTACATCTGAGTTGCTGTTGTAACTGCTGAAAAAGAAAGCAAAATTAACCAAGTCTCAAAGTTAGACAATGAAAACTGATCCTCCCTCTTCCACAACAGTGTGAAAAGGTCATTGGAAAATAAGGAGGTCACAAGCTGTAATCTCATATTTCCTATGCCCTCTTGTAGTCTCCAAGTCAAACACATACTAAGTCGGAGCTTGTTTGATAATGCCGAACTTTCTTCTGCAAAGCAAAACACTGAGATGAGTCATAACCTACCTGATTTTCTTCATGGGAAACCCTCATCTGCTCCTTGAGGACAGACATCCGGGCTGCTTCTTCTTTCCTCAAGACTCTCTCCTTCTTGAGCTCTGGACTCCAGAAGGTCTTGATACTGTTCATGGAAGACCCCAACTTGCTGTCCTTGATGTCTAACTCTTTCCGAAGGAGTTCATTCTCTCTCTGCAGTTCCTTGAGCTGGGCTTGAAGGTCTAACATTGTGCTGTCCCTTACCTGCCTCAACATGGAGGGGACCTGGTGGTGGTGATGATGGGATGAGCTGGTCAAACCTATATGTTGATCTGTGTAAGAAAGGACATCTGTGTGGGAAAGTCCAGCAGAAGCAATATTGGGACTACTCCCCATGGCTGTGACGCGACCTCCATATACAGCTCTATTTGTGGCCCTTCCCAGAGTCATGGTGCCCTTTGGGTAAGTTGTCGAAGCCACCCCTTCATGATCACTCAGATACATGGGTCCAGACGTAGCATAGGCTGCATTAAGGGACTGGATATTCTCCATGGACAGAGTCTTGCCCGCTCCTCCACCTCCCCCACTACTTGTTCTTCGGTGGCCCAAACGAGGAGACCTTGGCAAACGAGGAGATCTGGAAGGGCTCCCTTCCAGATTGGTGATTGTTCTTGCACTTCCATACATTTTTCTTCTATTATGAGGTGCGACTAAAGAGAAGAAATGCTATACTAAGTTGAGGATAAAGCCAAAATTTTCACTGTTGGCCAGATTTTTCACTGCATTCCGCTCATAGTCTGTACCAGAAAATTACTCCAATCAGAGATCTGAAAAATGAGAAAAAGGATCATCAAAAACAAACTTCTTTAGAACTGTCACTATAATTTCATTATGTCTTTAAATATACAGACAACCAAGATGTCTTCCAGTAGGTGAATACATAAATAAACTGTGATACATTCAGATAATGGAATATTATTCAATGCTAAAGAGAAATGAGCCATCAAATCATGAAAAGACATGGAGGAAATTTAAATGTATATTACTAAGTGAAAGAAGGCAATATGAAAAGGCTACATAATGTATGATTCCACCAAAAGACATACTTGAAAAGGAAAAAATATGGAGACAGTGAAAGAATCAGTAGTTGCTAGGGGTTAGGACCAGTGGTTGCTGGGAGAGGGATGAATAGGTGGAACACAGAGGATTTCTAAGGCAGTGAAACTACTCTGTTTGATACCATCATGGTGGATACATTTCTTTATACATTTGTCTAAACCTATAGAATGTACAACACCAAGAGTGAGCCCTAATGTAAAATATGGGCTTTGGATGATTATGATGTATTAATGTAGGTTCACTGTTTGTAATAAATGTACCACTCTGGTGCAGGATTGATAACCGGGGAGACTGTGTATATGTGGAGGCAAGAGCTCAATGGGAACTCTGTTCTATTTTGCTGTGAAACTTAAACCACTCTAAAAAATAAACTCTATTAAAATAGATAGATATCAATGGTGCTAATGATAGATGAACAATAGGTAGGTAGGCAGGTAGATAAACAGATAGATAGACCCATGTTCATTTAAAAAGAAAAGGGACCCCAAAATCTTACTTACTACATCTAAACGTTTTGTAAATTCTCCCCATCCTGCTCCCAAGCAAGGTCAAAATTTCTCAGCACAAAAAAACACTAATTTTTCCTTAGGAAAATGAAGCTCTGCATTTTGGGTTGTGTTAAGTGACAGTTAGAACCTCCAGAAAATTGACCATAGGATATTTCATCACAGAGACCTGAGTTATAAAATCCCCTGTCCTGGGGACATGACCCCTCTACACAAATGGCTTGACAGTGACTCTGAGAAGCTGTTGCTTCCTAAGATGTCAAATAATAGTCAATCATGTTGTTACCTCCACTCTTATACCCACTACAGACATCACTAATCCATCACAGTCCTCTTTTCCATTAGGTTCAGAACTGTTCTCAATACAGCACTCTAGATGGTTTACCATTAATCAACTGGCATCGATATATGATTTAGAACCTATCGGCCATCTTGGAAAAAGAGGTTGCTCAACTAATATAGGTGGCTCCCTACATATCGCCGGATCCTAAGTGCTATCATCAGAGATGACAGCCCTGTCTCTTTCCCCGTTCATGTACATCTTTCAGACTGGCCTTTGGGGGCTTTGGGGACTTCTTTTGCATTTCTGCTAATCTAAATATTCATATTAACCATTCCACACCTGTACAGAAATGACACAGAACAGTGCACCATGTTAGAGTCCCTGGTTCCATAACCCCTAGAGAAAAGTAGTAGAAGCTCCCGTGTCACCATTACTAAAGTACTTTGGTACAGATTTTATGCAGCCAGGGCTACAACCTGTGATTGTCCAGTCACTGCTGGTATCCAGATGGCCTTAACAGGAAGCATCATGGCCTCCTGCTCTTTCTCTTGGGGTGTGTTTGGTATACTTTTCTTCAGCTATAGGATAGTAAGAGCACAGACTCTGGAAAGGGCCAAAGTGAGGTTCAACTCTCCAACAACTGACTAGCTGAGTGACCTTAGGCAAATTATTTAACTGTTATGAGTTTCCTTTCTCCAATCAATAAAATATGGGTAATTTCATCTAACTCACAGTATCCTAAGAAAAAGATGATGTTTATAAACCACCTAGTTTGGTGCCTAGCAATAATTTTTGTTGGTAGTGTCAATAAATACATTAGTTGTATTATACAGGGCACCTTTTATTTTTACCTGCTTATCATTTATTTCTCCCCCACCCCCACTTTCTGGTAACACTGTCTCTATTTTCCTTAGAGAAATTGTCCCCAACCCTCTACTCACACAGTCATTAGGTTATATAAGGCTGATTCCCTCTACTCCACCCTGAATAGGGTTGGAGTGAGAATATGAACCAGGCCTGGCCACTCATCATAGTCCATCACTCAAACACGGCCACTGGTTTAGGATGGACATGTGGCCCACATTGGTCCAAAAGACTCCATACCATCATTTTAGATGAAACAACTAGGAAAAATAAGCTCTTTTTCAGCTGGAATTACTTGCTTTGAAGATGGAACTTCTGAGTACTACCATGTAAAAAGGGCTTCCCTGAGACTGAAGCTAATGCAAAAAAAGTCAGAGCCAAACTTTTAATAGTGTGAAATCAGGCCAGGTGACATCACTTGATATCAGTCATTGAAACTATATCCATCCCTAGCCATTTTAGTTACATATGCCAGGCAGACTGACTGCATTAATGGCCCCAATTCCTGTATCTGTCCCCTTGGCAGTGCCCTCACAATCTGGCCCTGGGTTCTGTTGCATGACTTGCTTTGGCCAATAAGTAGATAACAAATGTGAAGAAGTGGAGGCCTGAAATAGCACGTGTGTATTTACTCTCTTGCTCGTTTTCTTCTGCCATAGGAATTAGAACATGCCCAGTCTAGCCTGATGGAAAGTAAAAACATAAAGCAGGGCAGTGTGTCCTAGACAATAGCCAGACCCAAGACATCTGAGCAAGCCCAGCTAAGATCAGCAGAGGTGCCTAGCCAACCAGCAACTGACTACAGATGCAGGAGCAAGTCCAGCTAATAGCCACTGAACTCCATACACTCATGGACTAAACAAATGCTTCTTAGTATGTCACTGATGTTTTGTGGTCGGCTGTTTTGCAACATTACTGGTTCAACAGGTAACTGATATATTCACCCATAAAATTTCTACATTCAATTCTAGTTGGGGTATCTGTGACTTGTACCCGAAAAAGTCCTACGTATCATATGAAGAAATATTTTCCATAATTGCTTCTGCTTTCCCTAAAAATTCCCTACAAAGAATTATATGCCTGTCTCTAACTAAAGAACTTAGTTTCAAATGTTTATATTGCTCAGAGCTTAATTATGTTTTACTTGATAATAAACAAAAATCATTTTATATCTAAGATTTTTGCAGAAATAACCTGTTTTGTTTTTTTAAGAGTAAATCAATAGTTCTAACCATTGGAATTCAGTTTACATAAATGATGAGAGACAGTGAAATAATGTGATCATTACATGAATATTTAATGAGATGAAAAGATGTTCATGCCATAATGGGGGGGGGGGGGGAGAACAGACTACAAAACATTTCTATGGTTTACTCAAACTTTTGTAAGACACATGCACACACACTTACTAACAGAAGATTGAAACAACATACATTAAAATGTTAACAGTGGTGGGAATCCAAGTGGCTTTCATTTTTTCCTTTTGTTTACTTGCATGTTCTAAATTTTCTATCTATATATATAAAAGGTAAGCGACCAAACAACTGATCAACCAAATGGTCAACCAGTTGCTATGATGTGCACTGACCACCAGGGAGCAGATGCTCAACACAGGAGCTGCTCCCTGGTGATCAGTGCACTCCCATAGCCAACCTGCTGTGGCTGGCCAACCTCCCACAATCCCTTCCCCAGGCCTGCCAACCTCCCACAGCCCTGATCACCTGGATTGCTGGCCAGGCCAAGGGACCCCACCCGTGCACGATTTCATGCACTGGGCCTCTAGTACTATATAAAGATTTTTCTATTGTCTTTTTATTCTCTATTTCATGTATTTCTGCTCTGAACTTTGTTATTTTCTTCCTTTAGTAACTTTGGGCTTTGTTTGTTCTTCTTTCCCTTGTTCAAAAATAGCCAATGGTAAGGGTTTTTTGGTTGTTGTTGTTACACAGCAAAGAACTGAAATAGTCACTTAATGTTTCATTGAAAGGTTATCTAATCATTTTTTGACCAATCACCTATCATTGAACACAGGTTATTTTTAATGGAAATATCATAATTAATATTCTGATTGATAAAACTCTATATACATCTCTTATTACTTCCCTAGGATAAAGTTCTAGAGGTAGAATTATAAGATAGAAATTTAAAGGTTCTTAATACCCACTATCAAAATTCCCCCCAGAAATGTTGAAATAATTTACACTTACACCCTTACTGTTGGCTATTTTTCCTCCACTGCCTTTACTCTTTACTCTCAACATATCTTGGAAGCCACCAGCTTCTTTTGAGGCTACTAAAAATCCCTAAATTACCCAAATCATGATCACAGCTCTGTATGTTCACTAAATACACCTTAATCAGGAATACCAATACTGTGCTAACCAGCTCTGCTTTGGGCCAGTGCTTCTGCAATAGTGTGGCCAATGTTCAGATAAACAAGGCTAATGGGGATTTGTTTGTACACCAAGACTTCAAGGCACTAATGTGTACTGTGACTATTCCAAAATTGAGTATACAATGTAGCTTTTTCCAAATTTATTTGAGAAAAGAACTCTTTTCCCTTCAAAATACCTGAAAACTTTTCCCTAACCATTCGGACTTATTTAATTAACATTTTTTAAGCATTAGCTTAATTCCCAGTATTAAATGCTGAGGATAAAGAAGTGGCTGAGACAGACACAGGTCCTGCCTATGGGAAGTTTAACCATGAGGACAGACTTTATCAGAGTTTTCTTCATCACAAATCTAACATGGTTTGAGGGGAAGGTGATTACAGGAACTGGGCATTGCTTTAAGGACAGGGACATAAAATTGACAAAAGAATCAGAATTGAGCTCTAATAGAGAAATAGAGAAGACCAAAATGAGGACTGGTTGGAGTTTTAGCCTTACTAGGACAAGAAATAAATATAATTTTGTATTTATTTTTCAAACACCCCATATGGAAGCCAGAACGTCAAAAGGAACACAAGTGAGTCATCGGCAATCTGTGTGTCTAAGAGATGAGGAAACAGGTTGATGTTGCTTACTCCAACATCCCACCAGACA